TTAAGTCGGTATTTCTTGACATTTTCTTAGTCTGCCCAACTGTCTTTTGTAACACGATATTTTCTAAAGTCTTAATTTACATTTTTTAAATTTGAACATTTGTATTTGAGAATTTTTTAAACAAATTTAGATATTGTTTAAACCGGTATTTCTAGACACTTCCTTAGTCTTCCCCACTGTCTTTTGCAACATGATGTTTTAAAAAAGTCTCGATTTTTTTTAATAAGCATTTCCTTAAGAAATTTTTAAATGTTTTTTGCAAGTCAAGAATTTTTTTAATCCAGTACATCTGACACTTTCTTAGTCTCTCCAACTGTCTTTTGTAGCACAATGTTTTGAAAAGTCTCGATTGACACTTTACTAAATAAAAATTAAACTCATTTATTATAATAATTAATTATTGTTAGCAGCCAAAATCAAATTAAAAAATGTCAAAACTATGCAAAACACAATAAAATCAAGAAAAATGCAAACTTTAAAGAAATTCTAATTTTTGTTGTGAAATCGTCCATTTTTGACACAATCTAAACTTGCTCTTCGTTTTCGTAAGTTTCATCCTTTTTAATGCCCGTTTGTAGGCCAGAACCCGATATTAGGGTAATCGTGGTGACCGACGGTGAGCGTATTTTGGGTTTGGGTGACTTGGGTGCGTGTGGTATGGGAATTCCCATCGGCAAACTGTCTCTATACACAGCCTTGGCTGGTATCAAACCGCACCAATGTTTGCCCATAACCTTAGACGTTGGTACCAACACGGAAAAAATGCTAAACGATCCTCTTTACATCGGCCTGAAACAGAATCGGGTCCGAGGCCAAGAATACGACGACTTCATCGACGAATTTATGCGAGGGGTTGTGCGTCGCTGGGGCCAAAACACCCTCATCCAATTTGAAGACTTTGGAAACGCCAACGCGTTCCGTCTTTTAGCCAAATACAGGGACAATTATTGCACTTTCAATGATGATATTCAAGGCACTGCCAGTGTGGCAGTTGCGGGAATTTTGGCCTCGATTCGGGCCACCAAAACGCGACTTTCGGAAAACACTTTGGTGTTTCAAGGAGCTGGGGAAGCCTCCCTTGGGATCGCCGCCCTTTGCGTCATGGCCATGAAAGCCGAAGGGACGCCAGACCAAGAAGCACGTAAAAGAATCTGGATGGTTGATTCGAAAGGTTTGATTGTTAAAAACCGACCAGATGGGGGGATCACCGAACACAAGGAGCCCTTCGCTCAGGATCATGAACCGATTAAGACACTCGCCGAAGTTGTGAAAAAAGTTAAACCGACGATTTTGATTGGGGCTGCGGCGATTGGGGGCGCTTTCACGCCGGAAATTTTGCAAGAAGTGGCTAAGAATTGCAAAAAACCGGTTATTTTCGCCCTGAGTAATCCCACATCCAAGGCTGAGTGTACTGCTGAGCAAGCCTACCAAAACACCGATGTATGGCTATTTTTATTGTAAAGTTAGTTTTTCTATGGGTTTTTTACAGGGAAATTGCATTTTTGCCAGTGGAAGTCCCTTCGATCCTGTCACCTACAAAGGGCGTACTTATTATCCGGGACAAGGGAATAATTCGTATATTTTCCCGGGGGTTGGGCTAGCAGCGATTTGTGTAGGGATGCGCACCATTGGAGAAGACATTTTCCTAATTGCTGCAGAGGTAGGTGATAATTAAACAACTTTTGTTTGTTTATAATTGCGAAAATGTAAGCAGTGTCCTTAAATTCGAGACAGTTTATTTTTTCTGTGTTATAAATAAACTTAGTTTTGGTAGATTTTATTGCTTTATAAACGCGGTATTTCGTTTATTTGTGTTTAAATTGTAATAAGAAAATTAAAATCGTGAAAATTCTAAAGCATTTAAATTTGACGCCAATTTTAGTTCACAATACAACCAAGATAGGACGCTAGAATCGAAAATTTGATGACAGTAGATTCTAAAGTTCGTTTTTTTTTTTTTAAATAATAGTCAATGTCAAAATTCCCTCAAAGACTAGACTGTACCACCCTAAATCTTTTTTTTAAACATTTGTATATTAAAATCTCCCTAGATTAGGATTGAGGTTGTGTTAGTAATTTCCAAATGTCAAAAAAGATTCAAAAACTGTGTTGCCAGCTGAGCAGAAAAGTTACCAGATTTACACCTATTTTCACTACCAGATTAGACTATTATTTTTCTAATAATAAATCTCGCAAATCGGTTCAAAGACGTGCTGAAATGCTCGAAAAATACTAGAAATTTTTTTTGGCTAGTTTTTAATTTAGTTTTGCGAAATACCTGGTAACAAAAAATCTGTTGGTAACACTGAATTAGTGGTAATCCTTCTAAATTTGTTATTATATCAGAATGTTTCAGGTAACGGCTAAATCAGCAGTTGCCCGTCGCAAATGAATGACAATTGCCTATAAAAGTTTGACGTTTGAATTTGAAAGTCAAGGTTGCCAAATTAAATTTTAAATTTGACCTCAAAACATTTACAGTCACTCCATTTTTACGTTTTTTACTTGAAAAACGCTAAAATGTTAAGACACTTGATAAGGTCAAAAATAATGAGCTACTTTTATTGTTTGCAAAATTTTGCAATTAACACCATTTTCGACAATATTTTGTATTTTTCGTTCAATTTTTTTGACAAAGTTCAAAAAGAGCTAAATCGAATAAAATAAACGAAATAACATCAATTTAGATTTATTTTTCTTGTGTTTAAGCATGTTTTGATAATGTCCTTCAAAATAAATGAGTTTTTAGTTCAAAAACGAACTAAATCGGGCGAAACACGCTAAATAATTTCGTAATTTTTCAGTTTTAAAAATTTGAATGTACTTTAAAAACGTGCTTAAACACTCTAAAAATCAAAAATAACACTAGTTTTGGCCTAATTTGATAAATTTTCGGTTTGTTTTTAACGAAATTTTGCAAAATAGTTTTGTTTCGGGCTAAAAACATACTAAATCGTTCAGAAATGAACAAAATAATGTACTTTTAGACCCATTTTAGTGATTTTTTACCTTGTTAAGTGAAATCATTTAGAAAAACAAAACTGTCTCGATTTTTTAACTTGTTTTCGAGAAAATTTAGCATTTGAGTTTCTGCATGGCTAAAAAAAACGTGCAAAATGCTCACAAAAATTAAAAAAAACTAGTTTCTAGTTCAAAAACGAACTAAATCAAGCGAGACACGCTAATATCAATTTCAATCTAATTTGGTAATTTTTCAGTCAGTTTTATAAAAAATTTGAATGTACAAATAAACAAGAATAACACTAGTTTTGGCCTAATTTGATAAATATTTGGTTTGTATTTAACGAAATTTTGCAAAATAGTTTTGTTTCGGGCTAAAAACATACTAAATCGTTCAGAAATGAACAAAATAATGTACTTTTTGACCCATTTTAGCGATTTTTTACCTTGTTGAGTGAAATCATCTAGAAAAACAAAACTGTCTCGTTTTTTAACTTTTTTTAGAGAAAATTTTGCATTTGAGTTTCTGCATGGCTAAAAAACGTGCAAAACGCTCAAAAAAAAAACTAGTTTCTAGTTCAAAAACGAACTAAATCGGGCGAGACACGCTGATATCAATTTCAATCTAATTTGGTAATTTTTCAGTCAGTTTTAGCAAAAAGTTAAATGTATTTTAAAAACGTGCTGAAACACTCTAAAAAATCAAAAATAACACTAGTTTTGGCCTAATTTGATAAATTTTTCGGTTAGTTTTTAACGAAATTTTGCAAAATAGTTCTGTTTGTGGCTAAAAACATAGTAACACGCTCAGAAATGAACAAAATAATGTACTTTTTGTCCCACTTTAGCGATTTTTTACCTTGTTGAGTGAAATTATTTAGAAAAACAAAACTGCCAATTTTTTAACTTGTCGAGAGAATTTAGCATTTGGTAGTTTCTGCATGGCTAAAAAAAACGTGCATATTGCTCAAAAAAAAAACTAGTGTCATTTTTGACTGAATTTACTCTAGCAATATTTAAAAAACCAATTAAAAAAGTTAATTTAGGCGAATACTCGATTAACAAAATTATTTCAAAATTGTCTGCTGCAACTGCAATCAGGTTTCAAAAAAATCATTTTTTCAAGTTTTCACCACAAATCATTAAACTAGTACCAAAATCACCAGACCTGTTTTTGGCACCAACATTGAAAACATAAATTTCCCTAGGCTGTTAACGCACCCAAACGAGTTCGTTAATGGGCAAAATGGAAAAATATTATAATAAATTTTCTTTTTTATTCCAGACTCTTGCTAACATGGTGTCTGATGCCGACTTTGAGAAGGGAAGTCTCTACCCCCCGTTGTCCACAATCCAAGATGTGTCTGTGAAAATTGCAACACGTCTTGGGGAATATGCTTACAAAAAAGGTGAAAGCAATTTTTTTAGTAATTTGTTTTGTAAATAACGTTTCTTTTTTAAGGTTTGGCAACCGTGTTACCCAAACCCGACGATATGGAAGCTTTCATAAGGGCACAAATGTACAACACAGACTACTTGCCCGCAGTCCCTTGCACTTACCCATTCCCCTAAATGTAATTTATTATTTATAAAATGTTGCTGGTGGTAGGAAATGAACTGTCGACCAGTTTATTTTGTAAATTTATTTTTAAAATAAATGTAAATTATTTGTTTTTATAATAGTGTTTTCATTCAATAAAAATATCACTGTTAATATGTAATCAGTTTAATCTTCAGGTTCTTACAACTCTAGCAGTGCTAAATACATTATACAAAAAAGGACAAACAACCTCAAAATCAGTTGAACATTCCCAGACTAGACAGTTCCTTACTGAATCATTTTATCACAAAAAGTAGAAAAACATTTGGAAAATCAACAAAACATTTTCATTACTTAATTGGTGTTTCAAATTTTGCCTTCACCAAATGTTTTCTGTATGACTCAGACAAATCTATGAACTAAATAAATTGTTAATTTGTTGAAATTTCTGTATAATTAAATTCGCAAGTAACTTTCTAATGGTGATGAACAGTAACTTTAAATTCTTGTGAATTCAGAATTACTCTAGTATAAAAGTGAAATCTATTATAGTTTTAGGTCATTTATACATAATCTATGTACAAGTTTAATAATAAAATTTTAACAGCAAGACGACTTTGCAGGTTCGGCCTCAATTAAATTAAAATCTAGCCCATTGGGTCTCGCAAACCCTGTTTTAATCCCATCCCAGCCATCCTCAACCTTATATTCCCCGGTTTGTATTCTATTGTAAACTTCTTGTGTGACCGACCTGAAGGCCTCTTCAACGTTCATCCCGTTTTTCGCCGACGTCTCCACATTGAAAATCCCATGTTGATCGGCAAACGCTTTGGCTTCCTCTTTGGAGACCTCTCGTTGGCCCCCATTATTAACAAGATCTAACTTACAACCTACTAGAGCAAAGACAGGCCTGTGGGGCTCAATGTGGCGTCGAGCTTCCGACATCCAAACCGGTATATGTTCGAAACTAGCCCTATTACAAATATCATACACTAACAAAGCACCTACTGAATTCCTATAATACGATTTTGTGATTGAGCGAAATCTCTCTTGACCAGCGGTGTCCCAAAGCTGTAATTTTATTCTAGTCCCGTCCTTAACCTCGATAAGTCGTGCGAAAAAGTCCACCCCAACTGTGGGGTCTGACAACTAAAATAATAACCTTTGAATTAAACGCAATTCGAAATTTGGGTACTGACCTCAGCGAATTTGCCATCAGTGAAGTATTTCAACAATGAACTCTTCCCCACTGTACTGTCGCCTATTAAAATTAGGCGGAATTGGTAGTCGAAAATCGGCTCAACCATTTTAAAACATTCCACAATTTTTTCGCACTATTTACTTTTTTTATTGACACTTTCAACATCTGACATTGACAGGTAGCACAGTCGGTATTGCAGGTTTTTGTTCGGTTTGGGTTGCCAACACTAAAAAATGTTAAGAAAAACGATTGAATTGGTAATTATTTACCTTTTTTGATCTAGTAATGATGAACCAAATAAATTTATCAATTATTACTTACGGTTATACACAATAAAGTCACATTTCACATTTTTGACAATTAATAAAATCAAAATCCCTAATAATTGGGCGCTTGTTTTGAAATGCGCAACGCTTATTGGTGGTTCCAAAGCACCCCTTGGTGTCCTTCGTGTTGTTTCGGCCCCCCGATCGGTCACGTCAAAATATGGCCGACTGTGATGCGGCCCGAAGTGCACTAAGAGTCGATAACATGAAAGTGCCAAATGGGCCCCGCGTTGTCACAATAAATAAAACAGAGACTGGTTTCGGGTTTAACGTCCGGGGACAAGTGAGCGAAGGGGGCCAACTGCGCAGCATCAACGGGGAGTTGTACGCCCCCTTGCAGCATGTCAGCGCCGTGCTGGACAGGGGGGCTGCCGAACAGGCCGGGATTCGCAAAGGGGACCGAATTCTCGAAGTGTGAGTACAAGGGGGCCCAAAACCGACGTGAGGGGGTTTATGGGGCAGTGGGACGGGTTTATTGATTTTTATTCGCGGCCGGTGAATGACAGATACCTGGGATTACCTCGGGGGGCACGGGATTCAGGGATTCAACCGGTTTTTGGAACTTTTTCAAGCACTTGAAATTTCACGAAATTGGCCATTTTGGTTTAAACAATCGAAAGTGTATTGCCAACGCAAAAAATCAAAATTGGCCAAACTCAAATGACGTAATTTAATAAAAAATGCAAAAACGAAAATTAACACTTGACTGGGTTTTACCCACAAATCACGCGCTTTTTTCAGTTTTTCAACGGTTTTAATTTCAAAAATTTTAATGTCAAAATTTTAGCTTGACATTTTTGGCCATTTTGGACAGTCGACAATGCATTGCCAACGCAAAAAATCAAAATTGGGGAAACTCAAATGACGTAATTAATTAATAAAAAAAACAAAAACTGACACTTGATTGGGTTTTCACCACAAATCACGCGCCTTTTTCAGTTTTTCAACAATTTTAATTTAAAAAATTTTAATGTCAAAATTTTAGCTTGACATTTTTGGCCATTTTGAACAGTCGAGAATGCATTGCCAACGCAAAAATCAAAATTAATAAAACTCAGGAATTATTTACGTAATAATAAATAAAAACCGAAAGTATGAAAATTATGCGAGTGGTTATCATTATTTCCGCATTAAATAATCAACTGTTTGTAAATAATGAGCGGAAAAATGTCAACAACGTAGAGGAAGGTGGGAAAAAATGGCCCAAAACCTCGAAATAAGGGCAAGTGGGGTAGGACTGACAAAAAATGTTTCAAATTTAATTATTCTAAGACAAGTCAAGCGTTGATCAAGGTTTGTGTGAGCAGTAAACAATTTTTTCGATTAAAGACGTGATTGTGTCTATTTTTCACGTTTTACGAGTGCAATATAAGTGGTTAATTGGATTCGACGCAAATAGAACTCAAATATTAGAAACATTTATCTCGAGATGTTTACGAGCTTTAGATAATCTCTAAGATTAAAACTGATTTAACTGTTGTCATAATGTCAAGGCCAACTATACTCTGACAGTTCTATTAAAAGTCAAGGTCACACATATAAACTAAAAATATTCCATTGATGTTGACCAGATTTTATTTTTTCGTAAATATTTACAAGCGTCTGTGTGTGTTTTTCGAAATAAAATACCTTCGGGAAATAACACCGAACAGGAAATTGTAAACTCGATAAAAATACTCATGTGGAAAAACACAAGATAAATAAATCTAATTTAGATTGAAACAAACACAGAAAGAAAGTTATCGAAATGTCACTTATTATCGCTTTATAGTAGAAAATTGCACGTTTAGAGGACAAATATATTAAGAATTTTGCCGGTTTAATAACATGTTGAGTTACCAAGTTCATGGAAATGTCGCACTTAAACCCCACGGGCGGTAAGTTGACACGTTCGCCTCCAAAACACACAAATCGGCCTTTTATCTTAATTAGTCGCCAGTCAATACCCCCAAAGGGGCCAATTTGCGCTCTGGAATAGCTAGCATCTGTTCCAAATTGACGGCGATCAAATTCGTACGGTTGCTAGGCAATGACAACAATCTTGTCAAAATTATTGACGGTCGCTAGGTAACAATAATAACTGACAGCGTTCAAATTGACGGTTGCTAGGCAACAATATTTTGAAGGGGTGTGTTTTTGCAGAAATGGGGTGAACGTAGAGGGCGCCACCCACAAGCAGGTGGTGGACTTGATCAAATCCGGCGGTGATGTGCTCACCCTCACCGTCATATCAGTGACACAACAGGTATGATGTCTTGGTAATTATATGTGTTGTGAATTTTTTCTACAATTAAAGTTTTTGGTGGTTTAGGAGGCGGAGCGTTTGGAGCCGAGTGATGATAATCAAGTGTACTATGATTACAGTGAGAAGCGTTCATTGCCTATTAGCATCCCCGATTACCATTATAATGAGCGAGGGGGTGAGAGGTATGTGGCGTTTAATATTTATATGGCAGGGAGGCATTTGTGTTCGCGACGATATAGGGAGTTTTCCAAGTTGCATGTCGACCTCAAGAAGGAGTTTATAGGTTTGTTGGTGTTGTAAGGGTAGTTGGGGGTGTTTTAAGGGTGGTTTTGGAGGTTTCACATTTCCGAAATTGCCGGGCAAATGGCCGTTTAATTTGAGCGAGCAGCAGTTGGATGCGCGTCGAAGGGGGTTGGAGCAGTACTTGGAGAGGGTTTGTGCGGTGCGAGTGATAGCCGAGTCTGATATTATGCAAGAGTTCCTCACTGATCAGGATGACGATAATAATAGCAGTCCTGTTGACCTTAAAGTAATTCCCCGGAATTTCGAGTAATTCCATGTAATTTTTACGTAATTTTAGGTATTACTCCCCGATAGAGAAGTCGTCACAGTATCACTAAAAAAAAGCGCCAACGCTGATGAAGTCTACGAAGCCGTTGTGAAAAAAATCGGCATGAATAAACGCGTTTCGAAATACTTTTACTTATTTGAAATCGTCGAATATAATTTCGAACGCAAACTCCAACCCACCGAATACCCTCATAACCTCTACATCCAGAATTACAGCACGGCGACAAGCACGTGTCTTTGTGTCCGAAAATGGCTCTTCTCCCTATCAAAAGAACTAACTTTAATGACCGACACGCAAGCCACTTCCTACATCTTCTGGCAGGTATTAGATATTTTCAAATTGAACAGTTGGTACCAGTGATGATTCCAGTCCGTCGATGAGGTCAATCGAGGTTATATCAACGCCGGCGAACGGCTATATCAGCTCAAAGCCCTCCAGGACAACACCCGAGCCTCGGAATATTTGAAATTGGCGCGCGAATTGCCAGGCTACGGCGAAGTGGTGTTCCCTCATTGCGCATGCGATTCGCGGAAAGACGGTCATGTGATTGTCGCAGTGGGGAGTGGGGGGATCAAGTTGCATGCGTGTCGGGAGGACGGGACGTTGGAGAGTCAAGTGGTGGGGCTCCAATGGGATTGCATAAGGCAGTGGGAGGTGGACGATGAAGGCATGGCCTTCTGTTTGAAATACAACAGGGCGGATAAGACGCCACGATGGTTGAAGATTTTCACACCTTATGTAAGTTTGGTTTGTCAAGTTGGTACAAGTTTTAAGGGTTGTTTCAGCATTTGTATCTCATGGATTGCTTCGATCGGATTATTGAAGAAAGCAAGTGGTTGGATACGGGGGAATGACTTGTTCCAGTGTTTTAAATATGTTGTTGAATTGTATTATTTATGCTATTTATGTGATGTATATTTTTTTGGTTATAAAATCATAAGATCATAACACTTGTTGAAATTATTGTTTTTGAGAGCACAAGTTATTTATTAGGAAATTTTTTAAAAATTCATGTGATAGATTTATTAGAGTAGAATATCTGTATATATAGGTTTAGTATTACATGTGATCACTTCTGTTGTAGTGGGACCCAATTATCTATCTTTTTGCACTGCCGGTTTTTTTTTAGTCTCTCTCTAGCCTCCAAATTCTACCCTTTTGAGTCTCATTCTACAATATGTATATACTAATTATGGCGTAGCTCAATTAATTTAGTTCTAGTATCCAACAATCTAGAATTTTTATATTATTCTAGTGTTTATCTAATCAAATATTTATTTCTGTTGATGCGATTCAAAATTATATTGTTAATATATGGCGTCTTAAGATTTGGCTGTTACGCACTAAATTCTAAAATATATACATAATTAAATCTGGTTGCTTCCTTTACCCAGCCTCCTCAGAACAAAACTAAATTTTAACAAGGTCAAAAATTGAAAAAAAAAAGACAAACACCCAACTTTTTGATAAAATAAAAAGTCGTGTGAAAAAAAAATTGAAAACTCCTTTTTCCCGCCTCGGCGAGTCGCACATGTGCGTGGGCTTGTACCGTTGCCATTAGAGATAATCCGCGTTTTGTATGTTACCATGGTGACGAAAAATTGTAGAAATAAATGTCATGGTAACGGAAAAATTAGCTCAGTGGTGGGTAATTTCTGAATTTCCATTTTAAATATTTTGATGCTTTTAATAAGAAAAATTTAAAACGTCAGATATATTTTTAGTTGCTAAGCAACATAATAATGATAATAAAGGTCTTTATTAATAAATTAAAAGTAATACAAAGATGCGGAGGCGAAGTCTAGCTTGAAGCTATTCAACTTAACCTCAAAAGAAAATTGATAGAAAAAAAAAACAATTATAACATAAAAATAAAAATAATTATTATAAACAATATAAAATTTAAATAAAAATAAATTCGGAAGTTACGTAATAATAATAATAATAAAAGTAAAGAAAGAAATCATTGCCAGTCTCTCAAAAGCAAAAAGAAAAAACAAGAAAGACTTCTTTAAAAAGATATGAAAAAAAAAACAAAAATTGTACAGAAAAAAATTAACATAACTATTGACATCAAAACTTTTGTTATTTCATTGTTATTTAGCAACCGAATTTTAAAGCTAATTATACCGAACAATAATAAATTATTTCACCTCTAGAATTTTTTTAGCACCTCATTAGTAAAAAATTACGAGTTAAAAAGAAAACTTTTTTGATGAAATTAAATAAGTCGTGTGAAGAAGATTAAAAAAAGAAAATTAAATGCCACCATTAAAGAAAATTGAAAACTCCCTTTTCCCCCCTCGGCGAGTCGCACATGTGCGTGGGCTCGAACCGTTGCCATAGAAATAATCCGCGTTATGTATGTTACCATGGTGACAAAAAATTGCAGAAATAAATGTCATGGTAACAGAAACATTAGCTCAGTGGCGGGTAATTTCTGAATTTCTATTTTAAATATTTTGATGTTTAATAAGAAAAATTTAAAACGTCAGATATATTTTTAGTTGCTAACTCTGACATCAAAACTTTTATTATTTCATTGTTACTTATTAACTTACTTATCAACTTTAAAGCTAATGATATACCGAACAATAATAAGAAATTATTTCACCTCTAGAATTTTTTAACACCTCATTAGTAAAAAATTACGAGTTAAAAAAAAGAAAAAAAATTTTTTTTTGATAATACTGAATAAGTCGTGTGAAGAAGAAGTTAAAAAAAAAGAAAATTAAATGCCACCATTAATGAAAATTGAAAACTCCCTTTTCCCGCCTCGACGAGTCGCACATGTGCGTGGGCTCGTACCGTTGCCATAGAAATAATCCGCGTTATGTTACCATGGTGACAAAAAATTGCAGAAACAAATATCATGGTAACAGAAAAATTAGCTCAGTGGCGGGTAATTTCTGTATTTCTATTTTAATTATTTTGATACTTTTAATAAGAAAAATTTAAAACTTCAGACATATTTTTAGTTGCTAACTATTGACATCAAAACTTTTATTTCATTGTTACTTATCAACCGAATTTTAAAGCTAATGATACCGAACAATAATAAGAAATTATTTCACCTCTAGAATTTTTTAGCACCTCATTAGTAAAAAATTACGAGTTAAAAAAAAAGTTTTTGATAAAATTGAATAAGTCGTGTGAAGAAAATTAAATGCCACCATTAAAGAAAATTTGAAAACTCCCTCGTCCCACCTCGGCGAGTCGCACATGTGCGTGGGCTCGTACCGTTGCCATAGAAATAATCCGCGTTATGTATGTTACCATGGTGACAAAAAATTGCAGAAATAAATGTCATGGTAACAGAAACATTAGCTCAGTGGCGGGTAATTTCTGAATTTCTATTTTAAATATTTTGATGCTTTTAATAAGAAAAATTTAAAACGTCAGATATATTTTTAGTTGCTAACTCTGACATCAAAACTTTTGTTATTTCATTGTTACTTATCAACTTTAAAGCTAATGATATACCGAACAATAATAAGAAATTATTTCACCTCTAGAATTTTTTAACACCRCATTAGTAAAAAATTACGAGTTAAAAAAAAGAAAAAAAATTTTTTTTTGATAATACTGAATAAGTCGTGTGAAGAAGAAGTTAAAAAAAAAGAAAATTAAATGCCACCATTAATGAAAATTGAAAACTCCCTTTTCCCGCCTCGACGAGTCGCACATGTGCGTGGGCTCGTACCGTTGCCATAGAAATAATCCGCGTTATGTTACCATGGTGACAAAAAATTGCAGAAACAAATATCATGGTAACAGAAAAATTAGCTCAGTGGCGGGTAATTTCTGTATTTCTATTTTAATTATTTTGATGCTTTTAATAAGAAAAATTTAAAACGTCATATATATTTTTAGTTGCTAAGCAACATATAACTATTGACATCAATACTTGCTATTTCATTGCTAATGATACCGAACAATAATAAGAAATTATTTCACCTCTAGAATTTTTTTATCACCTCATTAGTAAAAAATGAGTTATCCAATTACCTCTTGACGCAAGTTAATTGGCAATTAGGAGTAGGCGTTGTAAACCCGATTCTTTTTTGTTCACTTTTCTTAAATAAAAATATGAAGATTTTGCATAAATTCGCCTCAAAAATAACAATAAACACTTCGAGGGCTTGCAAACCGTCGATTTATTCTAAAAGTGCACGTTTCTTGGGGTAAAGAATGAGAAACCTTGCACGAACTCCAAACAAAACACCGCCCACAGCCACCTTGTTTTTTCCAAATGATATGCGGTGATAGATTGTGTCCATAAATAACGCGTCGACTTTTGTATAAAACCCCATTAAGGGGGTTGTTTCCAGCATTTCGCATCCAACCATTGCGATGTTAAGACACTTTTTCATCGAATTATTGTTCGTTTTGGTGGTCATGGACACCCTCTCCAGCGCATCAATCCCCGTCTGCATCACGTAAGTAGCTTTCACATTGTCAAATTAAATTGAAAGCTCGCGAAAACAAAGTCATATGAGCTCCGAATTGCGCCCCAGCGCTCAAGTCTACGTCCCGCTCGAGGCTGTGACCCCCAAGGGGGCTCAGAGTTCGCGCTATTCTCGCAAAACCGTACGACCAATGGCGGGGGACTCCCCTCGGCCCATTCTGGGCACGAAGGCCCCCTTCCCGCGAGCGATTCTGGGCCGGAAGGAGTACGCCGCTGGCGGCTCTGAAGAGGTGATTCGCTCCTTGACGAGAAACATGCAACAGGTGAAAATCAACGATGAGAAATCCACGCCGAAGAAATCGACGAGTTGCAGTTTGTGATTGTGTTGTGATTGGGATTTGTTGTTTCAGAAATTGCGTGCAGTGTAAACAGATGTTTGGGCCGTATTTTCAAGGAAGGGCCTGTGGGGATGCGTGTGTTTCGACCAATGGCAGGCTGGTGCCCGATTGCAACAATGCGGGCACTTTGGGCAACTTTTTGAAACGGTTGTATTAGTTGTATGCGTTGTAAAGGCACTTAGACGTTATTAGACCAATAAAAACTGTTTCATATCGACTTTGTCTCATTTCTATCCTTAAAAAACTAGTATCGATGAAGAAATTGTAAAAAGAAACAAAAATTACAAAGCTAAGTTTTTTTTCAATAATTTAGCATTTTTTTTTAATAGTAAATACTGTTAAGAGTGAATTTTTCTGGTGAAAATTGCCATTTTTCACATGAACGCTGTAGCAATTTTTAGTGTTTAAAGTTGCGTTATGTTGGCAATGACATTTGCATTCTCGTAGTTAAAACTTTTCTTTAATTAAATTTATTTTAGCAAACAATTATTAAAAATTTACTACCATATTGTTTTATTGGAATGATTTGTAGGAAATAAAGCATATTTTCCAAATTTTATATTCAAATTCGACATTTTTGTAACCAAATCCACAACTTTATTGAAATAATCAAGTCGACTATGGAGTTGCAATTTCGTCACTTTCCGAGTTGATTTGTTTATTAATTTGGCGATTTTTTCAAGAATTGTTGCATGGAAAAACGTTTCGCAAAGGTTTTCGTCTAATTTTCTTTAAATTTTTCACCATTTTCAAATTTAAAACTTTTCTTAGTTTGACAGTTGACAATTAAAAAATACCTTATTTACAAAAAATATTTTTTAAGACTTTAAAAAAACTAAATTTTTACTTTTCTTTCACCGTGCTTTTGCGTTTTTTGCACTTTCACTGAAGTTCTCACCAAGAAAAACATTCCATTTTTTTTACATACTGAAGTTTAATAGTGTCTAAAGTTACATCAAATTATTTGTTGATAATGACATTTGCGTTTTTGTAGAAAAAAAACTGCGTTTTACTTTATTTTAGCAAATAACTGATAACAATTTATTATCACATTGTTTTCTTGGATTAATTTGTAAGAATTAAAGCATTTTTTCTAAATTGTGTAATTCAAATGCTACATTTTTGTAACCAAAACCATTACTCTATTGAAATAATCAAGTCGACTATGGAGTTGCAATTTCGTTACTTTCAGAGTTGATTTGTTTATTAATTTGGCGATTTTTTCAAGAATTGTTGCATTGAAAAACGTTTCGCAAAGGTTTTCGTCTAATTTTCTTTAAATTTTTCACCATTTTCAAATTTAAAACTTTTGTTAGTTTGACAGTTGACAATTAAAAAATACCTTATTTACAAAAAATATTTCTTAAGACTTTAAAAAAACTAAATTTTTACTTTTCGTTCACCGTGCTTTTGCATTTTTTACACACTTTCACTGAAGTTCTCACCAACAAAACATTCCAAATTTTTTACACACTGACGTTTAATAGTGTCTAAAGTTACATTAAATTATTTGTTGATAATGACATTTGCATTTTTGTAGAAAATAACTGCGTTTTACTTTATTTTAGCAAATAATTGATAACAATTTACTATCATATTGTTTTCTTGGAATAATTGGTAAGAATTAAAGCATTTTTTCTAAATTGTGTAATTCAAATGCTACATTTTTGTGACCAAAACCACGGCTCTATTCAAATAATCGAGTCGACTATGGAGTTACAATTTAGATGATTTATTCATTAATTTAGCGTTTTTTGGAATTATCGCGTGGAAAATAGTGTAATTATATTTCGCAAAGCTTTTTGTCAAGTTTTGTTAAGATTTTTTCAGTTTTCTTGGTTTGACACATCACAGTTAAATAATACAGTGGCGGACACGGAATTTTGGACATCAAATTTATGTCACTTCAAAAAATGTCAATGTAAGCCATGCATTATTGTCATTATAATTGACGTTTGAAACTAAAATTTGAAAGTTTTAGTTGAAATTTATTTTTGACGTCGATTTTCCGAAACAATAATGCGAGCAATATCTTTTATATAAGTTCAATAAATTATTTTGATTTGTTGTCATTTTTTCTCGAGCTACATATCAGGATAAAAATTACAAAAACCGAAAATGACGTTAGTTTACATTTTTATGTCAATCGAATGAGACAAATCGTCCGAAATTCCGTGTCCGCCAGTGTACCTGATTCACAATATTCCTTAATAATTATATAAATAAAAAAATACATTATCTCTTTGCTTTTACCGCTCTTTTACACTATTTACACACTTTCACTGAAGTTTTCACCAAAACTACCAAAATTTTTCACACGCTGACATTTGACAGTGACTAAAGTTACATCAAATTGTTTGTTGTTAATGACATTTGCATTTTTGTAGTAAAAAAATTGCATTTTACTTTATTTCAGCAAATAATTGATACACAATTATTATCATACTGTTTTATTAGAACAATTTCTAAGAAATAATGCATTTTTTCCAAATTTTATTTTTAAAGGCTACATTTTTATTAAAATAATCAAGTCGACTAAAAGTTGCAATTTCGTCATTGTCAACACTGATTTGTTTATTAATTTAGCAATTTTCTCAGAATTATAGCATTGAAAATACCGTAAAAATGTTTCGTAAAGGTTTTTGTCTATTTTTCTTAAGATTTTTTGAGTTAAAACTTTTCCTTGATTTGACAGTTGACAGTTAAAAAACACCTGATTCAAATATTTCGTAATAACTAAAAAGAAAATACATTTTCTTTTTAACGAAAATTAAAGAAAATACATTTTCTTTTTACCTTTACCGCTCTTTTACACTATTTACACACTTTTACTGAAGTTTTCACCAAAACTACCAAAATTTTTCACTGGCGGACATTTGACAGTGTCTAAAGTTACATCAAATTATTTGTTGTTAATGACATTTGCATTTTTATAGTAAAAAAAAACTGCATTTTACTTTACTTCAGCAAATAATCGATACACATTTATTATCATACTGTTTTATTAGAACAATTTCTAAAAAATAAAGCATTTTTTCCAAATTTTGTTTTTAAAGGCTCCATTTTTATTGAAATAATCAAGTCGACTAAGAGTTACAATTTCGTCACTGTCAATAATGATTTGTTTATTAATTTAGCAATTTTCTCAGAATTATAACATTGAAAATACCGTAAAAATGTTTCGCAAAGGTTTTTGTATATTTTTCTTAAGATTTTTCTTTGATTTGACAGTTGACAGTTAAAAAATACCTGATCCAAATATTCCTTAATACTACTAATAAAAAAATAAAATTTCATTTCTTTTTCAGTTCTTTTGCAGCTTTTTGCACTATTTAAACACTTTCATGTACTTTTCACCAGAACGACAAACTTTTCACACACGGACGTTTAACCGTGTCTAACGTTACACCAAATTATTTGCTACTAATGACATTTGCATTTTAATAATAAAAAATTACAGTTAACAACATTCTAATAATTAATAATTACTATTATGTCACTTCTATCGCTAATTTTTTTTTATAAACAGACTTTTTTAGTACCAACCTCTTATTTCGAAAAATTAAAACGTCAAGTGGCCATTTTGTGTAACGAGTGCACTTTCGCTACACTCGTCGCCTTAAATAAAAATAAAGCCTTTTTGAAACTCAAATCACCCGGCGCATCCACCAAAGTTGCACTTTTTTAATTTTTAAACACGGTTAAATTCAAAAGTTTGTACCATTTGTGAGTTTGAAGGAAAAGGAAACGATTAGGAACTAAATTAGCGACAACTCGTTAATTGCATTTTAGTTAGTCTTCTCGTGTAATTGATTCATCATGCCGACATCCCAATTATTGGCAAATTACCTTCTCCACTGTAATTTTTTCTCGTTTTGTTGCAACCACGTGAAGTGATGATGAGAAAAAACCACAAAGCGCAAATTTGCAGATAATTTAATTTAGACACTCAAGGTGTGTTCGTTGGTGCTATAAAATGTCAAATTTGATTTTGTGGGTTGTGGTGTCCATGGTGGGGGCTTCAGTCCCCAAACCTCGAAGCTTCTTCAACAAATCGAAAAGCATAATTCCGGATTATTATCTGAAAGGTATTTAAATTATTTTTATTTATTTAAGTATTAACACAAATGATAATTTTAGAAGTACGACCTCCTACTCAAGGTGGTACTCCTGTCGAAATAGATTTCAGTATGACTGTCGTCGACATCAATTCTATTAACGTGGAAGATATGGATTTTCGGTTAGTCCAAGTTTAATTTTCACAAAATCATGATTTTTTCCAGCATGGACATGTTTTTGAGCCAGGAATGGATCGACGCAAGGATTAAAATACCCGAGGATTTATTCGAATATGGCGACGATTCAATCACGTTACCTTCGCAATATTTTGACAATCTGTGGCAACCCGATTTGTATTTCCTCAACTCGAAAGTTGTGGGTAGGGGAATTTGTGTTTTGCCAACTGTCCCTAGAGGAATTAATTTTTTGCCAACTTGTTTCTAGAAATTGCAACCCTGACACATAAATTCTCATCAGTGACTTTATTTCGCAACAAAACGATCAAATATTCGGCTCGAATGCATGCAATAGTTGCGTGTCAGATGGAATTCCAGCACTACCCCATGGACACCCAATTGTGCCCAATTAGTATCGAAAGCTGTAAGATTAATAAAACCCAACCTCACTTTTCCGAAATGTCAAATTGTAGTTTCATACAGTAATAAGAAAATGCGTTTAAAGTGGGCCCCAAGTGGGGTAACTGTCAGTCCCGAGTTGAAACTCCTCCAATACAACATCCTCCCCCTCCAACTAGAGGAGAAAAACGTCTTTACGGGCGAGAAAAGCGGTACAGATTTGTCAACAAGAAATTACCACCTAGGAAAATTACGTTTTTTATGTTGTTTGTAACTAGAAATTTCAGAAGTAGTTTTGTATGCCTAAGGTTGGTTACCCCTTGTTGTTGTCGGTTGACGTTTTCTGTCAACCTGCTGTCAACTATCAATTAAATTATCCATATAAGCTGACAGGTGACTTAACCTAAATTTTGTTTGTCACCAGAAACCAACCTAACCAAATTTATGGCAACCTTTTCACAAATATTCCTAAATCCTAGGGAGTAATTTCTTGTTGGTACAACAATACTGTCATATTTCCCACTACTACCAACTTAATTTCTCTCGTAGGGAATTTCTCGCGCCTTGTGGTCAATTTCCGGTTCGAGCGTCAAATCGGCCACCACTTGATCCAGACTTTTGCCCCATCATCCCTCGTGGTGGTACTTTCATGGTTCAGTTTTTGGCTGGGTTTGGACGCGGTACCAGGCCGGGTCACACTCCTAGTCACGTGTTTACTTACTTTGGTCACCATGTTTACCGGTCTGAGGACTGACATACCGGCAGTTGCATACGTCAAGGTTGGTAGTAATTGTCACGAAACACATAGAAATTTTTTCTACAGGCGCTCGATTTGTGGATGGCGGGGTGTATGGTGTCGGTGTTCGCCGCGCTAGGGGAATTTGTCATTGTCAAGGTTTTGGACCAGAAGTACCAACGTTTGAAGAAGAAGCAGTGCGAACAAGCCATGGTAGGCCGATTTTGTGTTAAATTACAAAAGAACTGATTTTTTTGTAGGAGGCTGCGATTACCCCCTGGCGCCCGAAACCGACTCTTGTCAACAAAAGACGAGCTAGTGAAGGTGTTGTTCCCATGTATTGGAGAAATGTATGTTGGCAACGCTGAATTTTGACATTTCAGTCATAGGCCACTTGATCAAAACATTTTTTTTTTAGAAAAAGGGGAAGGAGAAGATTTTGTGGCACCAAGTGGACCGTGTTTCGCGTGTGGTGTTTCCTGGTTTGTTTTTCATCTTCTGTGCGATTTATTGGACGACTTTGATTTTCGGTAGAAGTGCGACTTTGTTGTAAATGATGCAATTATTGTCGTATCAACAAGGAATTACTCCCTAAAATTTAGGGATATTCGTGAATAGGTTGTCACAAATTTGGTTAAGTTGTTAAACAAAAGATATCGTAACTAGTGTCAAAATATAGGTTAAGTCCAGTGATGCCAGATGAGATTAAGCGCTTGTCCCTAGATTGTAACTTCTAAATTCCCTAGAATTCGATAAACTACTTAAAAAATTAAAAAGATACTATTTCATAGCCCTATTTTGTTGAGGTAATATAATATAAATACATACAACATAAAAATGTGTTAATTCCAAACAACAAAAAATCAATAAATAATATAACAATAAATTAAAATAAATTTTACTAAAGAAACAAATAAACGTGAATATTTAGATACCTACTTAATTTTTATTTATACTTATAAATTATGGGATTTCATTAATTTTAAATATTCGTCTAAAACATTAAATGAATTGCAATAATTAATAAAATACATTTTTGGTTTCCGGGTGAATAAAAAGTATGGAATCAAAGGTTTTTTGCTTAAACTATTTATTTTTTGAAAAAACTAATTGATGAGTGATAAAGTACTATAAAAATGTGATGATTTAACAAGAATAAAATTTTTCGAAATTTCTTTTTGTTTTTGAGTTCTACAAAAAAAAATATTT